CTGTGCAGCCACACAGCTTAAAAGGAACTTTGCCTGTATCCCCTCTAAGGCCAATATATGCCTCTGAGTTGTGGAGCTGGAACGTTTTCCAGTTGGATTTCACCAGTACTTTCTGAACTGGTAACAAGAGCAATTGTAACCAATTGGCTCCTTGAGCTGTTCTGCCATTCAGTAAGACCAGGGATGATCTGATTGTAATCTCAAATCTGTATTCTCTCCTAACCTGAGTAACTTTTCATCTCCTGGTGTAACAAGAATTGATCCACCCCTGCCTTAAAATATTCAGGTACTCTCCTTCCACCATTTTTTCAGGAAGAGAGTTCCAAAGACCCACGATCTCAAAGAAAAAGTTTCACCTTCTCTATTTTAAATGGGCCACCTCTGACTTTTTAAAACAGTGACCATTAGTTCTAATTTGCCCATTAGAGGAAACATTATTTTCTAATCAACCTGTTCAGAGATGTTACGACATACCTTTGGAACAGCTGGAACTGGAACCTGGTCCTCCTGGCTCTGCACTACCACTGTACCACAACAGCCCATCCTCTCCATATCGCCCTGTCAAGACCTCTCAAGATTTTATATGATTCAATCAATTGACCTCTTCTAAATTCCAGATACAAGCCTAGCCCGTCCAACCTTTCCTCATAAAACAACCATCCCACTGCAGGTATTAATCTGGAAAACCTTCCCTAAACTGCCTCCAACTTGTACGCATGAAGACGGCCTCAACTGTGATCTTGGGTTCATGTGGCGCTCAATATGACCCCACCATACTTCTGTATCTGTAAAATCTTCCTTACTGTCCTGTTTTGACATCATCATCTTGATAAATTGTTATGATCCCTCTACCTTAATTAGTTTGTACAGTTTTCGATTACTTATTACTTTGGTTAGACCCTCAGCATGTGATTCTTATAGCTATTGTTATTCCAGTCATTTGGTTTGTCTCCAGCACCGCTTTATTTTAAATTTTTTGTAATTATCTCTCTGTCTTATTTAATCAGATTATAAATCATCCCTTTACTTGTTATTCAGGTGTTGCCACTTTACTCACGCCATTTGATACTTTTGATCACCTACAGAGACTTATTATTCCAAATACCCATCACACCATTTGTATGATCTTTTGACCTCGCTGCCTACAGATTGTGTCTCTGTGTGCTTCTCTCTCACTTCACCTGACGAAGGGGCTATGCTCTGAAAGCTTGTGATCCCAAATAAACCTTTTGGACTATAAACTGGTGTTGTTTGACTTCTGACACAGCCTTCCACACGACTGAGATGAGGAGGAATTTCTTCAGCCAGAGGGTGGTGAATTTGTGAAACTCATGGCTGCAGAAGGCTGTAGAGGCCAAATAATCGAGTGTATATAAGACAGGGATAGATAGGTTCTTGCTTGGTAAGGGGATCAAGGGTTATGGGGTGAAGGCAGGAGAATGGGATTGAGAAACATATCAGTCATGATTGAATGAATCCAGATATATGTCATTATCAAATAATAAGGTTGTAATAGTAGAGGATTTTAATTTTCCAAACATTGACTGGGACTTCCATAGTATTAAAGATTTGCACAGTGAAGAATTTGTTAAATGTGTTCAAGAATAGTTTGTTTATGAATATGTAAATGTTCCTACTAGAGAATGAGCAAAATTTCATCTTCCCTTAGGAAATAAGGCAGGGCAAGTGACTGAAGTGTTCGTGGGGGAACACATTGGGACAAGTGATCATAATACTATTAGTTTTAACATAATTATGGAAAAGGATAAGTCTTCCATAAGAGTTAACGTTCTTAATTGGATAAGGAAAATTTTAAGGGTATAAAACAAGAACTTCCAAAAGTTCATTTGAGTGGACTGTTCACAGATAAAAGGACTACTGACAAGTGGAAGGCCTTCAAAAGTGATGATGACAGTTCAGAGGCATTATATTTCTTTAGATTGA